ATATATATATATATAAATATATATATATATATATATATATATATATATATATATAGAAGTGGGAGAAGATTAATTACCTCATAATGATCAACAAGCTCCTGAAAGTAAGAGTAAACCATGGTGCAGGTTTCTGTGGTCCAAACGAACTCATCCGTTGGATCAAGGATAAGGGTCAGCTTATCCATCTGAGTTTGATCGAAAGCGCAAGTCTCTGGGTCGATATAGGCTGCGAAAATCCTCACATGTCTGGTGGTGCTGCTCAGCCATTGCCCCCCATACTCCCGCCCCATGTTCTTGCTTTCCACGTTCGTTTGCGGCTCCACCGGCCTCGGCTCCGTCGCTCCCTTCTTCACTGGTTTATCTTCTTTCACTTCTTCTTGTTGCAGTGAAGTTGATTCTTGCACTTGCTGTTGACCACGGACTGAGAAGCCATTGTTGTATCTTCTTCTGGAGGTGAAGGTTTCTGTTCTGTTGGTGGCTTTCCACCCCACCATGGAAGCCATTGATGATAAAGCTGCTGCCATTGTTGGGTGTTTGTTTGTATCTTCAAGCTTTTTGGGTCATTTATATGGTTAAACTTCACATATGAATGGAGGTGTGGATAAGTTTAGCGGTATGTGAAGGAATGGGCAAGAAGAGTTTGTGGTAGGAAAAGGTTCTATTTCTATTTTTTTTAATTTAAATATATGAATTTTTCTTTTCTTTTTTAAATTAAAGTTTTTTACTCTCTTAATATTTAAAAGAAATTATCTTAAGATTATTAATATTTTAATCGAACAAATTTCGTGAAGAAATGGGAATTTTGATATCGCATTCATCTTGATTTAGTTTTCTTTCTCGTTTTAACCTTTTGTCACATGAAATACCATATATGTGTAATATTCATTTATGAATATTCATGTGTGTATAACAGTTCGACATTGTAACTCCATAACATGACATCACCTTCTTCCACATCGTAACTCCGTAACCTGAAAACATCTTTTCAACATCGTAAGAACGTAACATTGGCACTACCTTCTTCATCCGTAATCCAACATCCATCGAGACTGATCGATAACTCATTCGTTGACTTGGTGTGTGTAAAACCATAACCTACCACCTTCATTTTCCATCGAGTTTGATCGAGAACCTAAAGATTTATTTATTATGTGTTTGTGTGTATAAAACCATAACACAACGTACCACTTTTAGCTTTTACCGACACGAACCGGGAACCCATCAAGACCACTCAAGAATCTATTAGGACCAATCGAGAACCATCCATCAACTTGGTGTGTGGTTGTGTGTGTAAAATCATAACCTACCACCTTCATTTTTCATCGAGACCGATTGAGAACGTATCAACTAACTTATTTTATATTTGTGTGTGTAAAACCATAACCTAGCTTTTATCGAGATAAATCAGGAACCTAATGAGACGAATCAGAAACCTAACAAGACGAGAATCAAGAACTTATCAAGATTAATCGAGAACTCAATATAGAAAAAAAATTAGAGTATGTATAGTTGAAACTATAGCATATTCATGATGAATAGTATATATATGTATGATGAATATTATGATGAAAATTAATATTTATGATGAATATCATGATGAATATTAATATTTATGATGAATATCATCATGATGAAAATTAATATTTATGATGAATATCATACTAATATGAATACTAGAGAGTTATTGTATAGACGTAAACATACATAAATATTTGTGATAAATAATATGTATATTCATGATGAATATCATACTTAAAAATTGTTGTATACATGTGAATATATAGAAATATTCATGATGAATGTTATAGTAAAAAAATATATTCATTATGAATATCATACTGATGTATAAATATTAAAGAGTTATTGTATATACGTGAACATATATAAATATTAATGATGAATGTTATAGTAAAAATATATATTCATTATGAATATCATACTGATGTATGAATGTTAAAGAGTTGTTGTATATACGTAAACATATATAAATATTCATGATTAATGTTATAGTGAAAATATATATTCATGATGGATATCATATTGATATATGAATATTGAAGAGTTGTTGTATATACGTGAACCTACATAAATATTCATGATGAATAATATTTATATTCATGATGAATGCTATAATGAAAATGTATATTAATGATGAATGTTATAATGAAAATATATATTAATTATAAGTATCATAGTGATGTATGTATACTGAAGATTTGTTACATACATGTGAAATACATAAATGTTCATGATAAATGTTATAGTGAGTTATATATTCATGATGAATATCATACTAATTTATGAAATACTAAATAGTTGTTGTATACATGTGAAATATGCATAAATATTTATGATGAATATTACAAAGATATATCATGTCACGTAAAAATAGTTAAAACAAAAAACAACTATATCGAGATGGATATCAAATCGTATAGAATGGAATGTTTGTTTTTTTATGTAATTTATTTGATTAAAATATTAGTAATCTTTAAGATAATTTTAATTTAAAAATTATTAAGGGGGTAAAAAAATTTAATTAAAAAAAGAAAATAAAAAGACACATAAGTTAGACATATGATTGAAATTAATTCCATTTTTATCTAAAGTTATTTCTTAATTAATCACTTTATGTTTTAGCCAACGACTAATTTGATCGATGGCCGAAATCCAGTCAATAGTTCACAACCTAAAATTGGTTTTTAATTAACAGACAATTAATATTGGTTATTCCATTTTTTTATATTTAAACAGACAATGACCATTGTATACCTATGGAAAATATGTTCACTTTACTATTAATTAGGTCTCTTCCACCAATCACAACATTATAAATATTATAATGAAATTATGTTACTAAACTCTTAATCAAATCATTAAAAATTTAGGAAATTATGAAAAATATTAAAAAAGCAAAAATCATGGGATTTTATGATAATGTAACCTCCAATTAATGATATAGAAGTTATATAAAAAGAAAATTACACACATACCCTTCACATTAATTTCTTGAATAGAGTTGAACATCATACTAAAAAGGATTGTGATTGGTCTAAAAAGTTCATACAATTAATACTTTTTTTTTGGTTAACAAATGAACTAAACAATATATATATATATATATATATATATAGGGGAGCGATCAAATGCAAACCACTCAATTTGTACAAACCGTGCAAACCGTATTCAACCAATCATAATTTTTCATTTTGTTCATTTTTTGTAATTATGAGAGGTTGATTAATCATTTTTATTGTGGAGGGTGTTAATCATAGAT